CTATCAAGAGGAAAAGAACTGTTGTCTCTAGTTTCTTAGAACAACTAGGGCTGCAAACCTGGTGCTACCCATTGAAATTCTTGTCACTCTTTCCAGGACAATTTTACTTGAGCCTCAGGTTTCCCTAGAGTTTTCTGCCTAGTATAAGTAATTGTTGTGTGCTTGCACACATACATGCATCCCATTCACACATACTCATGGTCTGAAGCTCGCTGCAACCAGCTTTGCACCTTATTTAGGCAATTAATTCGTTTTGAAAACCTGGGCAAGCCATTTCCCTCTCTATGTTCTATGGCACTATGAGTCAGAAATGACTTGTGGCAGTGAGCTTGGGATTTGGGGTGCTTGGTTTGGGGATAAACCTCCAGTTGGGATGTCTTGAGGACTAAATCAGTTAATACATTAAAAAGTTTGTAGAATTGCCCTTAGCCCATACCATGTTTTTAATAAATGATAGCTAATATCACTATTGGCCTGATTGGATTTTACATTGTCTCTATCTTGCTTTCTTATCTGCCTCTTTGTGCCACTTTGAAGATGAAAGTGCCCGAGCCATGGTATTTCCAATCAGCTCGGATGCACGTGCAAGCTGGACAATGAGGAAGACCAGAAGAGAGCTGATGGCTTTGAGTTACGGTGTTGGAGAGGAAGTTTGGATCAATCATGGACTGTCAGAAGATTGAATTAAGCTATCATAGAAGACGTACAGCCAGAATGCTCCTTAGAAGCAAGGATGGCAAGACTTTGTCTCACATGTTTTGGACATGTTGTCAAGAGGGATTAGTCCAAAAGAACATCACACTTGGTAAAGAAGGTCAGCAAAAAAGAAAATGCCTTCACTAGATTGCTACAGTGGCTGCAACAATGGGCTCAAACATCACAATGATTGCGAAAGTGACACAGTGCTTCATTCTGGCAGTGTTTCTGTCTGTTTACCAGGTGTGGGAACTAACTATATCTAGGCACCTAACAACAACAACAATCTGTTTCATGAGTCAAAATTCTATGATACTTTATTGACCAAGTGATTACAGAAAACAACAACCAAAAAAACCTTTACGTTTCAAGTCCTTTCATTATCAGACTCTTCAGATTTTAGAACATAGGTGAAGTCCCACACTGTACTTTAGTTGAACTGGCCCGTTACCCTTCTTAGCGGTTTTGTATTTTTGAGTTTTGCCTGCTCATAAAGATAGAAGGCAGATGTGTGAAGATTAGATTAGGAGCATACATGTAACTGACTTTCCTGAAATATAAAGACACTACCAAAAAAAGTGAAATACCTCAATATTATGAAGCTAGACTACTGGGCATATAGTAGTTACACACTGGGCTGTTGAATGCAAGGTTGGAAGTTCAAAACACCAGCTGTTCTGCTGGTGAAAGATGAGGCATTCCACTCCTGTAGAGTGAGGGTCTGGGAAACCCACTGGGTCAGTTTCTATTCTATCCTGGAGGGTCGCGGTAGAAGGGACTCCAAGGCAGTCAGTTTGGTCTGGAAGGCAGGTCCTTCCATGACAAAGGGAAATTCTCTGTTTTTCAGGTAAAATCCCTCCCTCTTCCTAAAGAGAACGAGTGCTACTTCCGTGGCTAACGTTCAAGCAAAACTCAATTAATGAAAATAATTTCAAAATAATAATGAAGGTATACAGAGTCTGTGATAGAGCGAAAAATCTGAACATGTTGAAAATAGGTTTAACGTATCCCTGCTCAATACTCACGCTCATGAAGGAAACACGGAAGATATAAATGCTATGGCAAAGAATGGTGAAGAAATTAGATGGTGCCTGAGTTAGTTTATTGTGCCAACCTGGCCGATAAACACATTTGGGATTAATTGAAGGGCAGAGGGATAAATGGCTTGGTGAGCCTCGTCTTTCTAGTTCTTGGGTCTCTTGCTTTGTGATGGTCGCACCAGGGTGCAGCTGCCTTAGCAAGTTCCGTTTTAGCTGGCAAGGTTCACGTCCTGCAAGACATCCCTGAGGAGAAGCCCCATGGACTTACCCCGATGCAGCCCTGGGTGCTGGAGCACCAGTGTGGAGACCCCTGCCAGCGCTGAGATGCTTACACATTCACTGACTCGGCTTTTCTCCTGCAGTCGGCATCGTAATGTCTGCTTTGTGAGATGGAGGACTTTGTGGACTGGTGTCAGAAATATGGGTCAATGTTGGACTTGTGGGCTTGGGCAGCACTAGGTTGGGATGTTTTCTTGATGCACACTTACCGTTTATATAAAACTCGCTCTTATACATGAGTTTCTGTGGATTTGTTACTCTAAAGTGCCCAGACTCATACAGTGCCTGACGATCAGAAAGAACTGTGTCTGGGATCTTGTTTTCAAACAAGCAGACATCTAAGTGACATGTCAACTAAGTCCACATGGAAGAAGCACACCAACAGCTGTGATCCACAGATTGCAAATTATAAAATATAACCCAAATTCCAAAGGAGGGAATCCTAGTATTGGAGCTTAAATTGTGAGATTCTGGTTTGCAGAAGGCTATGGATGACAGTGGAAGCTCAACATACATTTGTAGGGAAGAAGCGTCCAGTGATTTCCCTCTAAACAGAATTGAGGGATGGGAATAACCTGGTGGTCATAAGAAAGGTGACTATAAAGTGATTAAATCTGACTTGAATGGTTAAAACCTTGTCATTTGTTCTCCATTTTAATGCACTTTATGCATAATCTGGTTTTTAATATTCTGTTTCTTTTCATATTGGGATTTATATTTTGTCATTGCTGCAGGCTTCTTGACTGTTATGTATTTTCCTATGTTTTTTGGGAAACAAAACTCAGGATGGGTGAAGGGTAGGACAGGGGAGGTAAGAATCTAAAGAAGAGGAAAATGTTTTGAAACTGATTATGGTAGTGATTGCACAACCCTGATTGACATGATTCAACAATGAAATAGTATGATGTCTGGATTAGGTCCTAATCAAATGGTTTGAAAGGGGGCAAAAAAAGTATTACTAAGGCTATATAGGTGAGTTAATAAACATAATAAATGGAGAAAGAAAAAAAGAAAATAGCTTTAAGATCAAATGTTGGTTTCAATCAGCAATCCTAGGGAGTCAGTCGTCTATGCACACTTTTGGAAAACTGTATTAAAAGGCTAGGCTTCTTTCGACACTAGTTCTCAACCTTCCTAACGCCTCAACCCTTTCATACAGTTCATGTTGTGGCGACGCTCCCAACCATAAAATTACTGTTGTTGCTCTTTCTTTTTTTTTTTTTAATTATAACATTTTATTAGGGGCTCATACAACTGTTATCGCAATCCATACACACATTAATTGTGTAAAGCGCATTTGTATGTTGCTCTTTCATAACTGCAATTTTGCTACTGTTATGAATCAGGCGACCCCTGAAAGGGTATTTTGACCCCCCCAAAGGGGTCGCGACCCACAGGTTGAGAACCACTGTTCTACACAGAAGGGATTTGTTTACCTATCAGAAGAAACGTAGGCCTTTAGTAATCTGCCTTCAATTTTTACAGTAGAGCATGAAAACATTATCCAACTTTCATTTAGCCATAGCTGTGGAACCTCAAAATGCTGCCAACAATGGGACCTCCTGTTTAAAACTATACTTTCCAGAGGGCTTGGGGACATATTTTTTCATAACCACCCCCGCCCCACTCCACCCTCCAAAAAAAGGGATGTATATTTTAAGGTACTCAATTGGCAAAACCAACTCCAGGTCTCCAAGGACCCAAAAAAAGGAAGCCTGCAGTTTTTTGCTCTAGTTTTAAAAACGAAGCGAGGGGGTTGTAGGGGTGGGGTGTCAAAAGCGAAAGCCTAAACGCTCCAAATGCTGCCACTGCAAAATGAGTCATTTCAGCCAAGGCTGGCAGTCGGGTGCCCGCAGCCCACCGTTCCTCTAGAGAGGGCGCTACTCGAGCGGGTGCAAAGCCAAGCACCGCCGACTTCAGGCTGGTTTTTGCTATGGGGACGATGCTTTCCCACACACACACGCTTCTGTAAGTGGCTCTCGACCTCATGGAGGCGTCAGCCGTGGGCTGCTGACCCAAGGTCACAGGTGCAATCGCGCAGCTGCTCCGCGGGGGAAAGCCGAGGCTGTTTGCTCCCGTACAGGGGCACATTCCCGGGCCCGCTCCGGCGACGCTCCACGAGTGGACTTCGGGTGGAGCGGGTGTGCTCGGGCTGGGGTCTAGTGAAGGCGGCGGGGCGGGGCAGGGAGAGGACAAGTTTCCCCCCTGGACCGGTAAGACATGGAGGAAAAGAAAAGGCGGTTGCAGTCACCTGGGCTTGGGCTGCGGCCTCGGGGTTCGAAGCGGTCGTGCGGAGCCGTGCGCGCGCCTCTGGGGCGCTGAGACTCCACACCCATCGCCGCCGCCAGGGCAAAGCGCCGGTGCTCATCCAAATGCCGCTTTCTGGATTCCACTCCAGACCCCAGCACACCCTCGGTCAGAGGGCACCGCAAAAGGCTGCCTTTTAGGCAAGTGCTTCGATGGATGTAGGTCCGGGGGAGTTAGGGGGCAAGAGGCTGCGGGCGAAGCCTGGGTACGGTCGCCCGCACGCGGATAGCCGGCGCGGAGGCGGCAGCCGCGGCGCGCCTCAGCCGAGCCGGGTCCTTTCCTCGGTCCGGCCCCACTGCTCCGCGCCAATTGGCGGCGGGGAGCGCCTCGGGCCCTGATTGGGCGGCGGGGAGCGCCCCGGGCTCTGATTGGGCGGCTGGCGAGCCGTCCTCGGCCACTGTGGGCTTCGGATACTCCCGAGTGCTAAATTTATCTCCAGACTCGCGACCGCGCCGGCCCGGCGTCGGATCGCTGTGGCGGTGGCAGGGGCGGCCTCCGTAACCTGAGAGCATCCCCCTGTCCCCGAATCCTTCTTTCCCCTGTCTTATTTCCCACCCACCTCCCTCGTCACCCCCTCCCCCCCCTCCAGTCCGCGACGACTGGCGCTTGACCCGGGCCAGGCCTCGGTGAAGGTGAGCAGCGCCGCGGCGGCGGCCGGGCGGTGCGCTCTGAGATGGCCGCTGCCTTGAGCGCCGTCTAAAATGGCGGCGCCGCTCTGCAGCTCAGCCGTACCGAGGACCACCTCTCCTTCGCCGACGGAGGTGAAGTGGAAAGCCAAGGTCGGGGGTGAGACGTTCTCCTGAGGTGGTCGACGGAGGCGACCGCCCGCGGAGGCATTCAGGGGCGAGGGCGGACCCCCGCGGGGAGCCAGTCCCCAGACGTGGCCATTCGCACCCGGGCCAAGAGCTCGGGCTTAGCGGCCCTGGGCCGCGGAGCGGGATGACAGTTTTTAAAGACCTAAAAAGGACCGTAGGCCTCTCCCTCCATCCTGTCTCGTGCTTCTCTCCCTACTACCGCCCCTCCCCCTAAGGGTACTCTGCGCTGGAAGGAAGCGCTTCAGGCGGGTTAGGGTGAAAGGATTGTGTCGCCCATCAGGAGATGAAGACTGCCCGCCCCCCGCTTTCAGAGATAGGAATGGGAACGTTGCTCCCTACGGCACTCTTAGGAGGGTAGCGCCTCGAAAACGGTGACTGAGGAATCCCACCGTTCTGAAAGCAAAGCTTCCGGACTTGGCCGTGCCCCGTGGTAGTCAAGGAGACTACAAGTAGCGCCTCGAAATTCCCTCTTGCTCTTAGATCTGTTAGATCTCTCTGGAGCTAGATTTATACCTCGGTCCTTGGCTCCGCGCGCGGGAGAAAGAATTCACGCCGAAGCCTGGTTCGTGATCGAAGTGAGTTTTATGAACGTTAGAAGTTTCAGGTTTACACGGCACCCAAGGGGCTCCTCCCGGACATGCGGCCTATCTGGAAGCGGTGCCAAAGCTCTCTGCGCCTGAGTTCTCCCTCCGTTCTAAGTTCTCCTCCCGTCTTGGTTCTTGTCCTCTCTCCCCTCCGGGCTTCTGCCTTTTCAAGGATTACACAGGGAGGCGTGGTGGAAGACCCCTGGTCGACCCCATTGGCTGAATTGAATTTACCTGGCTAGGTGATCCAATTCAAGTTCACGCCCACCCCTGCCTACCGGCGGGAACCCTGAACATGTGCGGTGTGCCACTCCTTTGTTTCCCTAGCTTGACCCTCTGGGCACCCATTAATGGACATCCCCCAGTCCTATGCTGGCCTACCTAACAGATCCACCTCGAGCCTGTGGGGAGACAGTCACCTCTTTGGTTCCTCATGCAAGGAAATCAGGCTTTCTGTTGCTACCACGTTGAACCCTATTACTTTCCGGCAGTAACCCACTGTTAGCCATTTCCTTCAGCACTGCCCATCTTTTGGTACTCGATGTATTTAGCACTTGGGAAGTTAAGAGGATGCAGGGACACACGTAATGGCTGGGCACCCGTTCTGCCAACTTTGGGGGTTCTGGGTTCTTCACATAAAAGCTGTGTTAATTTAGCAGGTGATTTAACCTTTCTGTTTGTCCATTTATATCTATTAATAACAATAGTCCTTGACATTTGGATTTGATGATTAAATGAGGTTACTTAGTAAACAATGTTCACTTAAACTTTAGTAACTTTGAGAGATTGGTTATTAAGGAGACAAAAACAGTTAAAACCAAAGGGTATATTTCATGTAATACTTCCATGTTGTTTTGGTTTTATTTCAGATTACTTTTGATACTTAGTTTTATAGACATTAAGACATGGCTGTACTTAAATTTTTTAGTTTTTGAAAAATAATTTGTAATGCTATTTCTAAGAAATTGATTGCCCCAAGATGGTGACATTGATTTTTAACAGGATGAATATATTCGTGTCCTTACTGTGCTAATCATCTTCTGTTTCAGTTCAAAATCTGCACTGCAGTGAGGAATCATTTGCACACCGTGAATCTAAAACAAATTGTAATGAAAGGTCATCTTAGAGGTTTGTGGTTAATTAGCTAACTGTTAGCTCAAGGTCTAATCTTAATGCTTTCTCTCATTCTAGGCTTTTGGTTACCCCCCCTCCCACCCTATCCCTTAATTTTATTCTTTTGAAGATTCTGCCTCAAGCTGCCAAAATGGGAGAAATGTGATTACAGAACGGTGTGCGTCTCACCTCAGGTATTTTGCCTTTTAGCTGTTAACAGAACCATATTGACTCAAGATCTAACGTGAGACTACCTAAAGCTTGTCCAGTAGCCAGATCATAAAGATCAAAAGTAACTAACAATATTTGGATAGATAATGAATCTGTATGCACTAGTTTATAAAGCTAATAGTAGTAGTCTTTAAAGGTTCTTAAAATGTTTCCTCTTAATCATGCTTCTTTTTCATTATATGGAGAATAACTCTGTTAAGATGTGTTGCCCTGTTTAGTCTTCAGCTATAATGGGATGCAAAGTAACCATTAAACACACATGTACATGACCTTGAATGAGTTGTAATTTGGATAATATAAATATGTAATTTTTTAGTCCAGGGAAACAAGTAGCAAATTTGGTCTACAGTTTATTTTTCTTAGTACACAGCATGTAAGCTAACTCCCTTTTTTATAAAACTTTGGACTGTGTGTGAATATAACTCCTCAGAATCATTGCTAGCCCTGAAGGTACCCTTCGGGTGTATGATAGTATCACAAATGAGTTTATCTATTGGCAGGAGGCATCAGAGAGCTAAGAGAGATTTCAAAATATTATACAGGACAGAGTTGGCAAATTCTGGCTCATGCTCTTTTTGTAAGAAAAAGAATAAAGGAACACAATCATGCCCATTGTATTCTGTATTGTTCATGGCTTCACCTACACTATTTGAATAGTTGTGACAAAGGCTGTATGGCCTACAAAGCCAGGAGTGTTTACAGCCCTTTACAGAGAGCTTGCCAACCACTACCGTGGTACATACCTTCACCTCTTCAAGGTCTCTTCTTTTGAAATACGCACAAGTTAGCCCAAAATGTGTTTTACAGAATATTAATCTCTAAGTTACTAAGTCTTCTGGGAAAAACATCGATGCTAACAATATTTTTTTCTTTGTAATGTATATTTTAAGATAAAGGCATAAGACTGCTAAACTCATTTATATAGCTTTTATTTTTATGTGATGATCTACCTTTAAGAAAAGGTGGCCCAACCGGAGAACACCAGGAAGTCGAATGAGAGATCACCTGATACATGAACATAAGATGTCCCATCTGCGCGTTGATGCATAATAAGCAGCATTCGCAAATTAACTGATGTGTGGCTGTCATCACTTTGATGATTGCTCGCCTTCCATTTTTCCTGTCTTATCATTTCAACACATTCCAGATACTCGGTGTGTATGCTAATGTAACCATGTTTTGTACCACAAAGTCATTGCCCATGGATCTGTTGCTGAAAGAAGGAAGTCGTAAGCAAGATGTAGAGTCATTTTGCTACCAAATTGTGTCTGAATCAAATGATCAAACGGTTGGAATATTACAAAGTGAAGACGAACAGTTGACGCCATCTAAAAAATCAGAAGGTGAGCTTTCCAGGGTCAAGTTTATGTCTGCTTCTAACAAAATAACATTTAGTAAGAAACCAAAAAGAAGAAAATATGATGAAAGTTATTTGTCTTTCGGGTTTACTTACTTTGGAAATAGAGATGCCCCACATGCTCAGTGTGTATTATGTAAAAAAATTTTATCAAATAGCTCGTTAGCCCCCAGTAAGCTTCGACGACATTTGGAAACGAAACATGCTGCATATAAAGACAAAGACATAAGCTTTTTCAAGCAACATCTTGATTCACTGGAAAATAGTAAGCCTCCAACACCTAAAATTGTCAATACAGATAATGAAAGTGCTACCGAAGCATCATACAATGTAAGTTATCACATAGCACTGAGCGGAGAAGCTCATACTATCGGAGAATTGCTTATCAAGCCTTGTGCGAAAGATGTAGTGATGCGGATGTTTGATGAACAATATAGTAAAAAAATAGATGCAGTACAGCTGTCAAACAGTACTGTTGCACGTCGCATTAAGGATCTTGCTGCTGACATCGAAGAAGAACTTGTTTGCAGACTGAAAATTTGTGATGGGTTTTCACTGCAACTAGACGAGTCAGCTGATGTTTCTGGACTGGCTGTGCTGCTTGTGTTTGTTCGTTACAGGTTTAATACATCTATTGAGGAGGACCTACTCTTATGTGAATCTTTACAGAGTAATGCTACTGGTGAAGAAATATTTAACTGCATCAACAGTTTTATGCAGAAACATGAAATTGAATGGGAAAAATGTGTTGATGTTTGTAGTGATGCTTCCAGGGTACTGGAGGGTAAAATAGCCGAGGCTCTTGCCCTGATAAAATATATGGCACCTGAAAGCACCAGTAGTCACTGCCTATTATATAGACATGCACTCGCGGTTAAAATAATGCCTACACCTCTGAAAAACGTGCTAGATCAAGCAGTACAAATCATCAATTATATTAAAGCTCGACCACATCAATCTAGGCTACTAAAAATTTTATGTGAAGAAATGGGTGCTCAGCACACAGCACTTCTTCTAAATACAGAATTGAGGTGGCTTTCCCGAGGTAAAGTTCTTGTGAGACTTTTTGAGCTTCGTCGTGAACTGTTGGTTTCCCTGGATTCCGCTTTTCGGTTATCTGATTGTTTAACAAATCCCTCTTGGCTGTTAAGACTTGCATATCTTGCAGATATTTTTACTAAATTAAATGAGGTTAATCTGTGGATGCAAGGGAAGAATGTGACCGTTTTTACAGTATTTGATAAAATGTCGTCGTTGTTAAGAAAATTGGAGTGTTGGGCCTCATGTGTAGAAGAAGAGAACTTTGATTGTTTTCCTACACTCAGTGACTTTTTGTCTGAAATTAATTCTGTGGTTGATAAAGATATTTGCAGTGCCATCGTGCAGCACCTAAGGGGCTTGCACTCTACTCTGTTAAAATATTTTCCTGTGACAAATGACAATACTGCTTGGGTTAGAAACCCATTTACAGTGGCTGTCAAGCCAGTCTCACTAGTAGCAAGAGAGTATGAGAGCTTGATTGATTTAACATCTGATCCTCGAGTGAAACAAAATTTCGGTGAACTTTCACTGAATGATTTTTGGAGCAGCCTAATTCAAGAATATCCAAGCATTGCGAGGCGCGCAGTTCACGTTCTTCTTCCTTTTGCCACAATGCACCTGTGTGAAACGGGCTTTTCATATTATGCTGCAACCAAGACAAAATACAGGAAAAGACTGGATGCTGCACCTCATATGCGGATCCGGCTCAGCAATATTACCCCTAATATTAAGCGGATATGTAATAAAAAGACACAGAAACACTGCTCTCATTAATATTGCAGGGTTTTGCATGTATCTTGATAACCAAATGTAAGATGAAAATAAAAAGATGATTTACTTGAGCTCCATTATTTTCTGTTTGTTTATGTGATGCAAAATTATTTTAATGGCTTTCCTGGGAAACACAGATACACAAGTAATGCCCTAGTTCCTTAGCGTATCTGGTCAATAGCTAATCCCTACCTCATTTGGCCTATTGTCTAACCTGAATCCCACCAGCCACACAGGACTTTTTTCTTTTTTTTATAAATCATTTTATAGGGAGCTCTTAATAGCTCATAACAATTCATCAGTTGTATCAAGCACATCTGTACATATGTTGCCATCATCATTTTCAAAGCATTTTCTTTCTACTGGAGCTCTTGGTATCATCTCTTTTTTTCCCACCCTGACCCTTCCACTCTTGTGACCCCCTTGGTAAATTATTATTATTTTCATATCTTACACTGTCCACTATCTCCCTTTACCCACGTTTCTGTTGTTCATACCCCTGGTGGGGGGGAGTTATACAGCAATCACTGAGATTGATTCCTCTTCTCCCCCCACCTTCCCCCTACCCTCATGGTATCACTACTCCCATTACTTTTCCTGAGGGTTTTATCTGTCTCACACAGGACTTTTCTTCAAACCATAGGTCTTACATATTTATTATGGCATAAGCATAACGGAAGAAGCCAGAAATCTCCCAAACCAAATTCCGTGGATTCACTGATGGCAAAATACTAAACATGACTTGGTAGAATGCTAGTGAACCTAGGTAAAGTGCAAGTGCCATCACAAATGCAGCTCCTTACAGTGCCAATTTGGTCTCCAATAGCTCCTCATGGAGTTGCACCTAATTTATTGAGCTTTCATTCCATTCCATTGGGCAGTGGGGCAATTCTGTTTTATTTCTTGGCCAGGAGTCTCATAAAACAAAGGGTTTTGAGGAGATGGTGTGAATGGAAGCCAGCTGTATTCACCAGAGAGCCCATGAAGAACTTGTCATTCCCTAAACACTGAAGTCTTTCATTCTGCAAGTCTCAAAAATAAACCAATTGCTTTGCAATCTTTCTTCTTGACAAATTTCTATCGCCTCTTCTACATTGTGTCCCAGTTATCTAGGTCTTTTCATTATCTTCCGGTTTTAGCTCTATCATGTCACATTTGCTTTTGTTTCTGTCCCAACCTTGAAATGCCTGGTGTTACCATGGCTCTCAGTATTATTGGACTATTGTCTATGATCTTATCCAAGTGTTTCTTTTATCTGGGGCAGGGCCTTCCTAAAAGTATGTGCTCAATAAGGAAATAAATGTTGGTGAAGGATAGACCCTCAAAAAGAGTAGTTTTCTATTCACTGGGTGCGGTGGCTTATACTTGCATACTCTGCATGTGGACAGAATTCTTTTTTGACTCACTGGTTAGCTAGCATTCAGGGCGGTAGTTATTCAGAAGTCAACTGTCTCAATTGAAGTACTAGAGATGGAAATATGAACATGTTCAGAAATGTTCTAAATTCCTACCTATTATGGAATTTGCAAATTCCATACTCTTTAATGTTTTGTTTTAAAGATTATTAAAACTCCCTATCAATTCTAATCATGTTACTCCTGTCATCAAGAGCTGCCATACGTGACCATTACTCATTTAATCTCAGTCAAACTTACCACCCATTTTGAAGAGGAGTACCTTCCTTCAAAACCAAGGCTAGAGTGACTGAGCAATGTGAGGTCTCTGCTCCAATACCAGTTCTTTAACCTTGGACAATTAGTACCTTACTTAGCCTAAATTATCTGTAAAATTATAATGACACCTTTAAAAGGTTACTAAATCTAAATGAGTATATAAAACAGGTCATCAGGAATACTTGTGCAACACCTGTTAGTGCCCTCCAATCCAACCATATCCTAGAAAAACTTGATTTTTCAGCCTGAATTTTTTCTCTGGAAGCATCAGCTCTAGTCTAACCTAAGGCAGCAGGATTAAGCATTTCCAACAGTTTTTCCCATTTGACCCTATTACCTATTATGCCAGGTACTTTCCAATGTACTTTGTCATCAGTAATTTACAGTCATACTATTTAGTTAGGTGTTGTGGACTTGCCTGAGGTCACAAAATGCATTGCACCATTTAATTTAAAATGGGTCTTCCATTTTTTCTAATTCAAAGTTTTCTTGTGAATTGGGTAAAGGTTTACAGAATAGATCAGTTTTCTGTTCAACAACTCATGTTTTGTTTCATGTTACTGTAGTCCCCATTATGTAACATCACTTACCCACTTTTTCCTGTTTTCTGTTTCCATTCCTCCTCCTCTGTAACCCTTGTGAATTTTGTACTTGAATAAGAGTTAGACTTTTTGTTTCTAGTGGTTGATTATTCTAAAGCAGTGGTTCTCAACCTTCCTAGTGCCACGACCTTTAATACAATTCCTCTTGTGACCCCTGTATGTGGGTGGACATACCTGGAGATGGATAGAGGAGTGGTGTCTCTGTTCCTAAGACCATCAGAAAAATGGTCTTAGGCGACCCCTGTGAAAGGGTCGTTTGACCACCCCGCCCCCCAAATGGGTCGTGACCCACAGGTTGATAACCGCTGTTCTAAAATGTTCATATCAGCCCAGTATTATTGTTCCCCTTATAGACTTATCATAGGAGTGGATTTGTTTCCAGCCCTGAACGGTGACTAAGGGCCATTGTCGTGAGATTTCCACTAGTGTATCTGACAGCCTGGTCTTTGTATGATTTTGAGTTTTGTTCCACATTATTCTTCCACTCTCATCTGCAACCTATTCAGAGCAGTTGATAGTGGTAACTAGGCATCACCTGGGCCATTAGTTCTAATAACAGCCAGTTGGGCTAAGTGTTTCCACGTGTCTTTGTTTTTGTTACCCTTCTTTCCTCTAGGCAGAGTGAGACCAATAGTTGCATCTTGGGTGACCACTTGTGAGCTTTAATAGGATGTAGAACATTATAGATATTCTTGTGCCAATTGACTTTGGTGTTCTCTGAAACTATGGTCTTTGACCCCTAGCCCAATGACTCCTTCCCTCAAGGTGTTTGGTTTTGCCTAAGATGTTTTCATAAACTGGCTCATATATTTGGGGGTATACTCCCCTCTCCCTCCCACACTCATTCAGCGTATGACACATGACTATCCATGAATCTGCTGGTTGTCCATTGTTTTTTCAGGAGTGTATATAACAGTAATTACCTCTTGCATTTACCTTTTGCTCCCATTGTCCCCTGCCATTTTTTGCCAACCTCCTCTCACTATACATTGTCTTTCTCTTGACCTAATTTAACACATGTCTACCCTCTAGGCAGTCGCTTATCCTTTCCCTCCCACCCCTGGTAACCATCAGATAACCTTTAACATTTTTCCTTGACACTTTACAGTAGTGGTCTCATTACAATATGTGCCCTTTTGTGGATTGACTAGTTTCACTCAGCATAAGGTCCTCTAGGTTCATCCATTTATGTTTCTCAAATTCCAATTTTTCGTTAATGTTGCAGCGCAGCCCATTGCGTGCATATAATACATTTTCCAGTCACTGCCTTTCAGACTTTTCTTCCTAAGCATCAAAAAGGTGATTTGGAGTATAGCTAAAAGGCCCTACTAAAATCTGGACATTTGCAATCTTTTGTTTTCAGAATTTGAAGTCTATTTCAGAATCTGCCCTGCTTATTTTAATAATAAAATATGGATTAAAATCACTATCAAGTAAAGTTCTATAAAAAGATGCATTATAATTTCTTATACAAGAAACAAATCATCCTAGAATTAAATGTACTCCAGTTGGAGAAGCATGTGAATGTTGTAATACCTGCATATGGCTTAGACTAGCGGTTCTCAACCAATGGGTCACGACCCCTTTAGGGGTCGAACAACCCTTTCACAGGGGTCACCCAATTCATAACAGTAGCAAATTTACAGTTATGAAGTAGCAACGAAAATAATTTTATGGTGGTGGTGGGGGGGTGTCACCACAACACGAGTAACTGTATTAAAGGGTCACGGCATTAGGAAAGTTGAGAACCACTGGCTTAGACCTAATGTGATTTGCCAACCTGGACCATTATTAGTTCATCTGCCTGAGATGTGAGGTCTCTCACTTTCCTATCGTCCTCCAACCTCTGAGAATCTTGATTCCTGCAATTATTTATTGCTATCTCCTGCTTTCCTGCCCTAAATACTGACCCTACCACCACCCTATACTACAGACTAGAACTGTTCTACAGGGTCTCCTTATGAAAGCAAATGGCCTTGACTTCCGCAGAGTGGCTCGTGGTTTCTGTTGAGCTGTTAGCAACAAAAGTTTAACTCAGGGCTCCGAAGACTAACTTTTTCTTGGTTCTTGATACCAACTGCTCACCTGCTCAAAACCTGTCAGACTAACTTGTATAGCTAGTGAAAATGACCTTTTAGCACCTGGTTACTTGCTCAACCAAAAGCAAGTCTCTTTCCAGGCAGCAACTCCTAGATTGTTATGACCTATCATAATCGCCAGAACCATGACCAAATCCAAAAGGGAAAATTTGTTTCCCTTGTTTAAACCCTACCTCCCTTTCAGAATGGGTTGTCCATTCCTAAAATAAAATCAAACTGAGTCTTGAGAATTGTTAGCTTCACTTTCTTGTGTACTTCTACAGCCCTTTGATTTTCTTTTCCTTAGGGCATCCTCAGACCCTGGTGGTGCAGTGGTAGTGGACTGTGAACTACGAGGTCAGCAGTTAGAAACCACCACCTGCTCTGTGGGAGAATGACCAGGCTTTCTACTCCCATAAAGATTTATAGTCTTGGCTACTCACAGGGGGATTTTACCCTGTCCTATGGGTCTCTGAGTAGGCAATGATTTTATGGCAGTGAGGTGAGTGAGTGCATCCCTCAGGCTATTTGGAGCTCGAAGTTAGCCTCTTAGAAACTCAAAGAACTACTTTTAAAAGGAAAGAAATGGTGTTTCACTTAAGATTTAAGGAGATATTTAAAGACTAAGTGGTATGTTCATGGCACCCTCAAATAAGTAACCCTTTTTCCTATGAATGAGAAAGTTCCTCTAATTTGTACAACCTCAAAGGACAATCCC